GGAGACCAGGACTAGAACACGCAACCAAGGATACAGAGCAAACCTGTACAACCAGTATGCTGTGGCGGTCACGACGATCTCAATGGATAACTATGCTATATGTATCCTATTTAGCAACATGAATTTAACAGGTACGCATCTGAAGTTTAAATGGGCTGCAGATATTGCGACCAATTTTGCACGCGCTGTTTTTATAGATATATTTATAAAAAGTTATCAAAATTATGTTTAAATGTATGTGTGCTATAAATTTTATACAAACAAACCATGATTACTAAATAAAAACATTTAAATATACACCCATGTACTATATAAAATGTTTAGATAATACATAAATTTAAAATGTATATTAAATAAAAATGTTCATGTGTTATTTTCAAAACATTGGTATATTTATTTTAAAAACTGCCAAGCATACAAACGACATACCTTATTTTTAAAACTTGTTCGTGTATTATTCCAATACACACTGGCATATTGAAAATATTTATGAATTGTAAAAATGTACAAATTTTTAAAATGATACAATTTATTTTGAAATTACATTTATAAATATTGTTTTTATTATACAAGCATTTCAATAATTATAAGAACATTTGTATAGTTCAACTTTTATAATTAGAAATATTCATAATTTTCATTTTAAACTTTTGATATGTATATTCAATCATGTATAATATTCAAAATATATGCTGTTTTCGAATATAAGTCATGAGTAAAAAAATATAGACATGTGAGTAATTATAGATATTAAGTAAATGTTTATATTCATCATTTTAAAATTTAAATATAAGCCATGAGTGTATACTTCTTTTGTATACATTAAACATTGTATCTAAGATACATTTTAATATCCGTATTAACTAAATATTTTATATATACATGGGTATATATTTCATTGTTTTTATTTACATAGTATTGATAACATAATTTTTATGATGTACATTTTAAAATATCTTATAAATATAGCTTGTGCAAAATGTGCTGCAATATCTGCAGCCCATTTAAGCTCCATAAGTGTCATTGCTAAATATTTACTCCGTCGTTATCATTGTTTACTAATTAAGTCTATCCCTAAAAAAACAACTAATCAACGTGTAGGGTGGAGTGGTTAGCCGGTTGTTTTGCTATCCTGTGGTCGCGAGTTAAAACCTGCCCTAAATCTTTTTCTGTTAATACTGACAGGCTGGACTGGGCGTAGAGAAGTAAAATGCCACATCCATAATCTTTTTGTCAAAATTATATATTTTTTAGTGGGGTTTCAGAAAAAAACATTCTTTCTGGTTCACTGGCTGACAGCGGACCCCCACACGCCTAGTCAACACAGATTATGTATACAAAACGGGATATGCATTGTATTTGCACGTCTAAATCAAGTTTTTCCATCACTTTGATGTACATCACAACTTTTAGCACCAAAGTGACTATTTATCTTAAGTTCTAGCATCGTCGGTGTAATTGACTCTTTGAAAATCATCGGTAGCTCGTGACCTGCAGCGCGCCACGTCTACGGTTTCTTCCTCGAGCATTTCATTCCACTGCCTTGTCGACGCCGACAGGCAGGGCCGCCCGCACGATGCCTCCCCTCCTCCGCTCCCCCGCGCCGCCGTCCGCCGGTGTCTTCTGCCGGCGGCGGAAAAGAATGCGTGCGCGTGCATCGTGGCAGGAGCTGGCGGGCGTGCTGGTGTTCTCCGCCGTCCCCTTCACCGCCGTCAAGGCCATCGCCAACAGCCCCCTCGGCGCCAGCCTCCGCCGCCGCCTCGAGTCCAGGAAGGCCTCCGCCGCCGCCGAGGCAGACGCCCTCCGCGCCGCCGCCCGCGAGGCCCGCAGCTCCAGGCAGGCACTCTCCCCTTCCTTACAAAAGCAAAGCCGTTACGTGTACGTCTGCGAATGAACTGACCTCCCGTTTTGTTTGGGGAATTTATCTTTGATGAAGCTTTTGGTACGGGGGAGCTCGGCCGCGGTGGCTCGGTCCTCTCCGGTACGACTACCCGGAGCACCTGGTCGGAGAGTTCCCGGGCGATTACGGCTTCGATATAGCAGGTCTGGGCCGGGACCCCGTTGCTTTCGCCAACTACTTCAAGTATGTCACCCACTGCCCAATGGTTGTTCTTCTTAATACTTTTCAATCACAGCACAACTACGTTGCATTTTTATATGCCTTGCAAGTTACAGCTGAATCAGTTTATAGTTTATGAGCACTAGTGATGAATAGTTACTGTTTAGTGCCTGATTGTATTTTGCAGATCAACTAACTGTGCCTGCTCTTCCAATAGTAGTTATTAGGCACTTAGGGGGCATATGAGCAAATCTCCGAACACTACTGCTCATAAACTGGGGATTTGATCATGTGCCCCGTTTTACTTTGGCAATTGATAATATGCTTTTACTTCGTTTTTGATAATATATGCCCCGTTTTACTTTACTGTCTTGATGATATGCCAGGTAACCTGTATTTCAGCTTTCTTTAGGCCTATCACTAGTTTTGTGTATTCAGATAACTGTCTTGCTTCAAGCCTTTTATTTTCCTAGTTTTGTGGGAGACTGCTCCGTGTTGAGTTGAATGGTGACAGTATGCTTTGGCGGTACTGAATTTGGTATACGAGTGATCAGATGAAAGTAAAACATGTTTTTTTTTTTGGAAAAGGGGACAGAGCCTCCGGCCTCTGCATCAAATCGATGCATGCAGCCATCGAGAGGAAAAGGCTAGTTCTAATCTTGATGTTTAGACCTTGGCCAGTGAGTGGAAACAATGGCTTAAACTGAAAAATAAAATCATATACTTGCTCTGATCATGCCCTGGTCTTTAATAACTTCAAAACATAAATAAGTATCAAACACCGGATATTATTGACCAAGGGTAGTGGCAGAAAAAATATAAATGACCGAGATGCAAAGGGAAAAAACAAAATTATGTTTGCTTTATCTGTAAAGCGGGACGAAAGCCTTTTTCGGTAAAAACAAAATTATGTCGTGCAATCTTATGCCCTCTTCTTACATACGGATTACCAGGCAATACCTTCTGTGCTTCTCGCAGCAAACGTTATGCCCTAAGCTTACCGAAAAAGGCTTTCGCCCCGCTTTATATTATAAAGCCAACCGCACAACAAGCATCCAACAAGGTCCAACACAGATACACGCACACACACACGGAAGTCCACAGGAACATAAAGTAGTCGGAAGGGTCAATGCTGAGGGCACAGCACAACAAGCCCTAAACACAAAACACACACGCCACAGAGCTGCCCTAAGCTTAGAAGCTTCTTTGGGGTAACTAAAAAATATTTATGTTGTATATTACACTAATGAGATTGTATGAGGAGATCATTGAAAGTTTTTCCTACGAGAGTAACTGTGTCATTTCAGATGCAATACTGAACATGTACCTTCGTACTCCATCCTGCTCATGTTCTCCTTGTATACTAAAATGGAGGTCCTTACCACAGAAGGTGCATAGTAGGCTTATTTGCGATGAATGATAATAGGTTTGCTCGAGTGACATTCAAGTCTCCTCTTTCCAGTTAAACTGTTCTGTATATTTCAATGATAACATTTTTATTTTTGTGAAGCTGAACCACTAGTATCTTACCTCACCAACAATCTTCATTGCAGCTTTGAGATTTTACATTGTCGATGGGCCATGCTTGCTGCTCTTGGTGTTGTTGTTCCTGAGCTGTTAGATCTATTTGGGATAGTGCATTTTGTGGAGCCTGTGTGGTGGAAAGTTGGTTATGCAAAACTTCAGGTGAAATATCAATATGAACCATGTCTGAGTTCATTTAGCACACAATGACTGTTCCTGCAATAGACCTGAAGAAGATATGTGTATCTAAAGAGCTCTCAAGATTGTAGATTTGTAGTTCCTGTCATGCTACAACCACAGTGTATCTTTTTGTTCAGCATCTGAAAACTGGTTCTTAGCTAACTCTAATGGAGGCATAGAGTATCTTCATTTTTGTACAATACAAATTATGTAAATTTGGCTTTAGCTAACGTGTTGGTTTCACAGGGCGATACTCTTGATTACCTTGGGATTCCTGGGTTCCGAATTGCTGGTGGTCAAGGCATCATCGTCATCGCTATCTGTCAAGTCCTTTTGATGGTAATAAAAATGCTATGTGTATCATGTTTCGGTCCCATACTTTTCGAGTAATTGATGTAAGTCCAAACATTCATGTCTTGTGTGTTTTCTTTGTAGCAAACACTTTAGAATTGTAAGCAACTCTCCACATATAATTCTTTAACCTCACAAGATTATTCTCTTGGTACAGCATTCCCTTGTCATTTCATACTTCTAATGGTTGCATACCACATTAGACAAATATCTCCATGTCATTATTTGCCAGGTTGGGCCAGAATATGCGAGATACTGTGGGATCGAGGCGCTAGAACCCTTGGGAATATATCTTCCTGGGGACATAAACTACCCAGGTGGAGCACTGTTCGATCCCTTGGGGCTGTCCAAAGACCCTGTTGCGTTCGAAGAACTCAAGGTGAAGGAGATCAAGAATGGTCGTCTCGCAATGGTTGCATGGATCGGATTCTACGCCCAGGCTGCTGTAACCGGCAAGGGCCCTGTGCAGAACCTCGTCGAGCACTTGTCGGATCCACTCCGCAACAACGTTTTATCCCATTTTCTTTGAGGCATTCTAACTGCTTATGTACCGCGTTTACATTGATCAGTTTGTTTTTACTAGGAAATTAATATAGTTTTAGCAAATAGGTTACTGCGTAACATGGCTATAAGATTGTTGTACAGTTGTGGAGTTATGGTGTTGTTCAGCAGAAATTGTGGGTGCCCCAAAATTACTGAAAATGGGATTACATTGATCAGTTTGTTGTTACTAGGAAATTAATATAGTTTTAGCAAATACTCCCTCCGTCTCATAATATAAGAGCGTTTTTGACACTACACTAGTGTAAAAAATGTTCTTATATTATGGGACGGAGGGAGTAGGTTACTGCGTTACATGGCTATAAGACAGTTGTACAGTTGTGGAGTTATGGTGTTGTTCGGCAGAAATTGTGGGTGCCCCAAAATTACTGAAACGAAATTGCTCCACTTACTGAAAATGGGAGTTGTGGGCCTTGTGGTAACTAAAAGCAGGCGAGGAGTAGATACTTTGCTGGGAAGTTTTGACATGCAGATGCAGTAGAAGATATCCCATTGTACATGTGTCAACACTTAACTGTGTTTCTTCTTATAAAAACCAGTTAATTACGTCCAACCAGCATTTACTCCATTTTTTTTTGCATAATACGCCTCCCAACTAGAAGCCGAGTTCCATTACTCATCATAAGTGCCGCCGCCATCGCACATCTTAGTCAAGATGTCCCCACGAGTGAACTCCCTAAATTGCCTCGCCTTCTCGTCCATCTTACTAGGATCCGTGAACATGATAGCATGGTCCTCGACCACCCTCTTTTCTCTTCACTCCACGGCTGCCATTCAAGTTTTTGCTCCCTCAGTGTCAAGCATTTTTTTCTTCCGCTTCCAATGCAAGACTTTTCCCCTCAAACTCAAGCCTTTTCTCCTCTGCTAGCGTGTTTCTATTTGCGGCCGTCACCTTTGCCTTCCACTTCTACTCATTGATGGCCTTCATCTTGAAAGTGCAACTATCCCTAGGTGGTTTTGGTAATTCATAACAACATATAGCTCATTGAGCTAATGCTATTCCAAGACATATATTTCAGGAAAGCTCAATGAATGGCATGTCATGGATGATGAAAGTGGATCCCTCAAAATATCAATGACAAAGAATTGGCTCAAGCTCAAAAGCTCAAGACTCTTCATTTTATATTTCAGTGATCCAAGATCACATTGAGTCTATAGGAAAAGCCAATACTATCAAGAAGGGATGAGGTGTTGCTTAATGAGCCTCTTGCCTCATGTGCTTAGTGATATGCTCCAAAACCCTCAACTACTTTCTCACATCCACATATGACCTAAACCTAAAGCCAAAATCGGTCTCACCGATTCTTTCTATCCGGCGCCGCCGAGTCCAGATGTCATAGCCACTGCTACAAACCCTAGGCAAATCGGTCTCACCGATAGGGATCTCGGTCTCACCGAGATGGGATTGTAATCTCTCTGTTTCCCTTCGTAACGTTTCGGTCTAACCGAAGTGAGTGATCGGTCCCACCGAGATTGCAATGTAAACTCTCTGTTTCCCTTTTGTAACATTTCGGTCTCACCGAAAAGAGCAAATCGGTCCCACCGAGTTTACCCGACCAACTCTCTGGTTAGCTAATTACCAAAATCGGTCCTACCGAGTTTGTGTAATCGGTCTCACCGAGATTATGTTATGCCCTAACCCTAACCATATCGGTCTCACCGAGTTGCATTTCGGTCCCACCGAAAATCCTAACGGTCACTAGGTTTACTAAATCGGTCTGACCGAGTTTGTTGATTCGGTCCCACCGAGATTGGTAAATTGTGTGTAACGGTTAGATTTTGTGTGGAGGCTATATATACCCCTCCACCTCCTCTTCATTCGTGGAGAGAGCCATCAGAACAAACCTACACTTCCAACTTACCAGTTCTGAGAGAGAACCACCTACTCATGTGTTGAGGCCAAGATATTCCATTCCTACCATATGAATCTTGATCTCTAGCCTTCCCCAAGTTGCTTTCCACTCAAAACTTCTTTCCACCAGATCCAAATCCTATGAGAGAGACTTGAGTGTTGGGGAGACTATCATTTGAAGCACAAGAGCAAGGAGTTCATCATCAACGCACCATTTGTTACTTCTTGGAGAGTGGTGTCTCCTAGATTGGCTAGGTGTCACTTGGGAGCCTCCGACAAAGATTGTGGAGTTGAACCAAGGAGTTTGTAAGGGCAAGGAGATCGCCTACTTCATGAAGATCTACCGCTAGTGAGGCAAGTCCTTCGTGGGCGACGGCCATGGTGGGATAGACAAGGTTGCTTCTTCGTGGACCCTTCTTGGGTGGAGCCCTCCGTGGACTCGCGCAACCGTTACCCTTCGTGGGTTGAAGTCTCCATCAACGTGGATGTACGATAGCACCACCTATCGGAACCACGCCAAAAACATCCGTGTCTCCAACTGCGTTTGAATCCTCCAAACCCTTCCCTTTACTTTCTTGCAAGTTGCATGCTTTAATTTCCGCTGCCTATATACTCTTTGCATGCTTGCTTGATTTGTGTGATGATTGCTTGACTTGTCCAAAGTTGCTAAAATCTGTCAAACTCTAAAATTGGGAAAAAGTTAAGTTTTTAATTGGTCAAGTAGTCTAATCACCCCCCTCTAGACATACTTCAAGGTCCTACACATCTCATAGAAACAAGCCATCTTTTCCTCCTTCTGTTCGACCACAAATGCCCTTTTCATCTCCACCACCACTGCAATAAACTCTTCCTTGTATGCTCCAACACCACCATTCTACTTGACTTGCTTTGCATATTTCACTCCATTCCGGAAATACCGTTTTCCTTAAAAAAGAACAAAAGGGTCTTCTACAATTAATAATTAACTGGTTATAATATTAGTACTACTCAAAGCATACACACACCCTACTCAATAAACTCTGTGTCGTAACTATGGCTTAAGAGATGTACTCCTAATTGTTAGGACCATGGGATCGACTAGGCTTGGGTTTCGGAGTAGATCGAACTATCTGTAGTCTGTCTATGATCTGTTTGTGTGTATACCTTAGCGTTCCGGCCATCGCTGGTTCGTCGATGAAGGTCTTCGCACGGGCAGCGACGGTCAGTGTAGGGGTCGACGGTGAAGTGCGACAGGGCGTTGTGGAGCTTCCCATCGCTGATCGGCTTTCCTCGATCAGTGAGGTTAGGGAGGTGGGCGACGGTTCTGTTTTGGCGCACATGCCCTTGTGGCCCCACCTCCCTCTTATAGCCGGCGTGACAAGGGCCCACAACCCAGTTGGGTTGGGCTCCCTCGATCAGGGAGCGAGTCATGGGTCCAATGGGCCTGTCATGGTTCTAAGTCTGACAGTAAGTATAGGGGGTACGAATGAGGAGGCAAGGTCCCAGCTACGGTGAGATTGTACGCAAGTGTTTACGAGTTCAAGCCCCTCTCGGAGGAGGTAAAAGCCCTACGTCTCGGTGCCCTGAGGCGGTCGACTGGAATATGGGAGTATGTGTTACAGGGGATGCGAACCCTTGTGCCAGAGGAGAGGGGTGGCTTATATAGAGTGCGCCAGGACCCCAGCCATCCCCCGTTACCAAGAGTTCAATGTACATAAAGATGGGCGTTACTGATAACGCCAGCCATAAAGTGCTTTTAATGATCTTAAAGACTACGGAGTGAACGCCTGACCGTTGCTGTTCTGGTCGACTCCTGGTCTTCGATAGGCCGAGTGATTTCCTGTATGGTCGAATGATATTAAGAGGGAGGGGTACCCGAGTGAGGTGACTGGTCGAGTGGATTGCACTCGACGCCTTCAATTGGTACTCCATGCTGTGTCTTGGATGTCTTTGCTTCTAGGGTAGTGACCTTGGGTAGGGCATATAGGTCAGGCCTATGACCTGCCCTAGGTCTATATCATCATCATTAGCCCCCGCATGGATTGAGGTCTGAGTGAAAAGAAGGTTGAAGTTGATGTTGCCTCGACTCTTGTGCTTCACAAGTACTCATGTTGGACTGGAGGCCCATGTTGGAACTTCGGCTTCGTTTCAGTCACCTTAATCGATTTAGAAGTTGCCGAGTGGATCTATACCGTCACTCGTCGAGTGTTATTTTTGACGCAAAATCTTTGGTGCGATTGGTTACGGCGTATCCCGGATCTCACGGGATTCGAAATTTCGGGGAAGCGTGCGAGGCAGTGCGTGCCGCAGTAAGCGGGATGGATAGACAGGAGCGCCTCGATCCCCACACCACCTTTTTCGCCACGTACCCAGCGTGCGACTGTTGCGGGATTTGACAGGATTGCCCGGGCCCACTTGTCAGTCACTCGGAAGTGGGTCCTTAAAAGGCGACGGGGCCAAGGCATTTGCACTGCGCGCGTCCATTCTCCTTCTTCCTCCTATGCTTCTCCACCGCATCCTGCTCCTCTGCTCTCGACGCCGCCGCCCCGCCACCATGGTGAAGGACAAGACGGCAGCGCTAGAACGTGCGAAGAAGGCGACGGGGGCGGCGAAAGGCAAGAAGATGAATCGGGGGTCGTCATCGCGGTCGACGCTGCTGCCGGGTTGGATCCAGGGCGATTGGATCTGATCTTCGCTCTGGCCGAAAGATTTAGATTAGCTGGCTGAGTCCGGACTGATCGCCGACGGGGCTGCGGGGCTGCCGGAGGGGGAGACGGAACCTCAGCCGCGACCAGGTGAGTGCGTTCTGCTTGCCACCCATGTCGACCGCAGTTTCTCCCTTCCCCGTACCCTTTTTTCCGGGGTTTCTTGAACTTTTTTGGAGCCCAACTCCATCACTTCTCTCCCAACACCATTACGTACCTTGCGGCGTTTGTGTCCATGTGCGAAAACTTCCTAGGTTGTCGACCGCACTGGGTCTTTTCAAGCACATCTTCACAATCCGCTCCCAGTCGGTGAAGAAAGCGAATTCGAGTGACGAGAGAACACACGTTATCCAAATGTGTGGTGGTTTGGGTATCTAGAAGAGGAAAAGGAGTTCTTTCCCTTCCATGACACTTCCTGAGTCGGTCAGGGGC